ATAAATTGCACAACGACGAAAAATGCGAGCATGTTTTTTATCATTGGTTGAAGATACAGACTGTTTGTCGGAGAATTTACAATGCAAAATATGCATCCTTTATACGAAGTGAAAGAAGCCCTGTGCAAAATAAAAATCGCTATGGGTTAGGTTATGGGTGGGTGTATGTGCGAGTGTGGATTTGATTGTAGGCGTGACTGTGGGTGTAGCGTTTTTACACTTCTTTTAGCCACAGTCATATCGACACCCACACCTGCACTCACACCTTCGAACAAGCAAAAACAACAGAAGATACTGTGAGATTAAACATTTATAATAGTCCACTACAAATTCAATATACATAAGCATTTTTTTTAATCAAAACGAAAAACGTTGTTTTCAGTGCTGATATATTTGAATCAAAGGGTAGGGCGCCACTAACAGAATGAATTTTCGTCGAAAGATATTTTATCTAAGAATACTCTGTCGAAAAATCTTTCGACGAATATCTTTAGGCAAAATATCTTTCAAAGAAAAATCTTTGTCTAGAATAAAACAATAACAAACAAAATATGTTATATAAAACATCTAATGCATTGAAGTTTTGGCATACATGAGTGTCAATATATACTCAATTCCTTATCTAAAGATTTATGTTGGAAATTATTATCAATTCAAGAAGGAAAAAAACTCATTCTGTCCTCTCATCTTTTACCTTAACTGAAACATACTACCACAGAACAAGAGGCAACTCTTAAGTTCATCTTGTAATTTCAAAACGTTTTGTAAATTACTATTTACCCCATGTGTTAAATCACAAAATGAAAAACTCATTTCACTATATTCAAAATTAGTTTGAGCATAAGAGATTTGGCTATGAAACCAGGTGAAAAAACTTTTATTTCATACACTAAATCAGAAATTAAAATCGAGAAAGCATTACAGTTTCAAGTAGAAACTATTATAATTATATAGAATATTGCTGAAAGTAAGCACATTTTACTTTCGACACAAAATCACCAAGGAGTTTGTTATCACTTCTTTTTGTTCTTTATTCTTTTTCTCTTCACAATATTCACTCCTTAAATACTCAATAATATCAGTGGTACGTGAGGAAATGAAAGAGAATCAACATTATTTATGGCAAGAAATATATCATGTCACACGACTTCTCCTCCTCAACGGTAGAGAAAAGAAAAATAATATGACAGAACGAAAACATCAGAAAAAAACGACTAAAAGAAAGAGTACATAAATTTATAATAAAATACAAAAGTAAAATAGTAATCGCAAAAGTTCTTTAAAAAAGATCAAAGTAATTCATGAAAGAGATAATCAGAATAAAAAGAAATGTGGTAGATATAAAGAAAGAAAAAAAACGAATAAAATGATACGCAACAACTGATAGAGTTCCACTGCCAATAGATATAAATTATGATAAACTTGCACGTTCATCTCGAAGAACATTTATTATGAATATAAAATACTAGGGAACTGCTAAGCATCAGAAAGGTGTGGGTGTTGATGACTATTTGAATTTGGAACGAAGAAGAAATCAACATACAAATTCTATTTTTGGCCTTAGAAAAACCTTTATTTTTAAATAAAAGATACTTTTTTGTGTTGAAGTTGAAAATATTTCATCAAAAAAGATCCTCAGAAGCGAACGAAAACTTAAGAATTCGATGATTGAATCAATCCGTCACATAAAGATTATTTTTTAAATCTATCCCCAGACTAACTGGTTTCTTTAGAGAAGTATTTTGACTCTTAAAACTTATGTTTGCTTCGTTTATGATCACTTGAATCGAATCATCCCAGTATCTATTTCAATCACGTAAAGATTTTTATATTGATCCATAATGATACCTTGTGGATTAGACAGATTAGTCCGAAAAGTATCAGTTCTTCCTTTAACCAAATACGGTTTTTGTTGAAGTTTCTGAGCTGTAGCACCAGATGAATCAGCAAAATAAATTAACTCACCACATTTATCAATGAATATCCCTTCTGAAAGTTGTAGATCACGCGGGTGTAGGTGTCAGTGTGGGTACCAGTATACTATACCCGTCACATACCCCACCCACACCCTTTCTTCACGTTATTATTCGTTATCGTTGATCAAATCAATACTGACATAAGGGGCTTTATTAATCATCATATTTGTTGACCTCCAAGCGAACAAAGTACAGTAAAACTCTATCACTATAATTCAATCTATTGTATGGCTTTTATTCGTAGTTGATCGAGTATGCACTGGAATATCAACAGAGATTTCTGAAAGGAAGTCCTATATATATTTACAGAAAATATTTCATTAAATAAAATTCAATAATCTATACATATTTTATCTAAATAGTTTAGTTAAGTTTCATGCATTATTAAAGATTTTAATTACATGTGCGTATATATAATTTCGTGTTGAATAAAGAAAATGAACTGATTCGAACTTCATCCAGTCCTTTCTATTTCATTCTATTCCATTGTATAATAAATAAACAAAAGAACATAGAAACCCATTCCAAACAAACATTATTAAAAAGAAATTTAATTATTTTTTTGCGTTGTTATAAATGATGCATCTCATTCAAAAAAACAAAATCATTCATATATAAGAATATATGTTAGAAGAATATTAACAAAACTTTGTTTTAAATCGAAGTAAAATCATGATTAACGATAAACAACATCGACCAGTAGTTAAGAAACTTCAACGTCGTCATCGATCTTTGAAAAATAAAGTAAATTTATTAGACAAATTTTTCTAAATTTTTACCGATATTTAATTTAGCAACATGAGTTAAGTACAATTGGATCACAATCTACTACTATAATTCATACATCCATTCGACAAATAAATAAAGATCCTCTTACAGATAAAAGCTCATTAAAATATCATAACAGTATACATCCAGTATCAACTTTTACTTCTTATCAAATTGGAAAATTGTCTACAACGGAATACTCTATTGATCCATCAGTAAAACCAAGACGTTCTATGAGTCTAACTAGTCTTCGACAAGATTATGAATCTGTTTCACAAGTATTACTTTTAATTTGTAAGAAATGATTTTTTTATTTCCTTCTCTTTTTTATTCTAGTTAAGTCAGAACAAATGGAGATATGATCATTCAAATCGAGTTACACCACAATTCGATGCTCATTCAACGAAAACAGTTAATAGTTTAAAATTGATAGACACTAAAGTAAGTTGAAAGTTTATTGAATCATGATAGCTCTAGGATAGATTTTGAAGATTATACATACTTGAGGGATTCTTAATAATCTCACACCCTTAAAACTATTTCTCTCGTTCTTATATTACTTGTTGAATAAATTTAGTCATTATATTCATCATCTAATCGTTTTGATGTCACAAAAGACCATCATCGTCATCCAAATGAAAAGAAAAAGAAAAAGTAATTCATCGTTTTACGTATAACTATATATATTTCTTGTAACTTTTCTTATAGATGTTCACCTTTATGTATACTTTTGTCACTGATAATTGGTTTGCTATTATTAATAACTATTATTTTAGTTCCTACGATAATTCTAACAAAGTCAAAAACAACAAAAATTAAACGTAAGATATAATATGAATAAAGACAGTTAAGTAAATTTCCTTGTTTTTATGTAAATAGCTACTAACGCTGTATTACGTTGGAATCCAGTGGGCATCACGATTGCTGGAATTACGGGACTATCTGGTGCTGCTGCTGATCGTTTAACTCTTCCATTTACTTTAGCAATCGATTATGATAATACACTTTATATTACCGATAACGGATGTAATAGGGTTCAATCCTGGCTTAGAGGAGCATCAAACGGATCAACGGTTGCCGGAAATACAAATTGTACGCCGGGTGTTGGTTTAAATCAGTTGACCCAACCTGCCGGTATTATCATTGATTCAAATAGTAATCTCTATATAGCAGATTCTCAGAATTCGAGAATTCTTTTTTGGCCTAGAAATGGTATTTCAGGAACACTAATCGCCGGCAATAGTTAGTAAATAAGAGAAATATTTAATTAAATAAATAATAAATTTTCATCTTTTCAGATACTGCTGGTACCTCAAACTATGCATTGTATTCAGCATATGGGATGTCACGAGACTCGAGTTCGGATACACTTTATGTAGCAGATTTTGGCAATCACAGAATAATGAGCTACCTGTCAAATGCAACTTTTGGAACTGTGGTTGCTGGTGGGAATGGTGGTGGTACAAATAATACACAATTATATTATCCTACAAGTGTTTATTTCGAAGCATTATCGAATAGTCTAATCATTGATAATTATTTAGCGAACAATATTGTTCGATGGACAATAGGTGATAGTAAGTGGACGTTACTTGCTGGTAGTTTAAATTCATTAGCTGGTACTACATCTACACTTCTTACTTTGCCTCTTGGTATAACCTTAGATCCAATGGGAAATATGTATGTTGCAGATGCAGGAAATCATAGAATTCAATTCTATCCAACAAATCAATCGATTGCTTCAACCATTGCCGGTGTTACTAATTCACAAGGTTCCAATGCTACTCATCTGTATAATCCATATGGTTTAGCATTGGATAGTCAACTTAATTTATATGTAGCTGATACTGCTAACAACCGCATTCAAAAATTCGTACGCTATTAATTAAAAATGTCACTTTCATTCATGACTTTATAAACTATTTGATTTCACATAGTATTGTTTAGTGTATGCAACATTAGTATAAATTAAAAAGACAATTGAAATGATTTATTCTTGTTATTAATCAAATATATGATGAACTGATAATAATGCTTTTGCTTTGTTTTCTTCTCGCCATGAAAAAGACATGAGAACTACTAAATTTAAGCTTGAAACAAGCTGCACTAATCAGCTTTTCTCCGAGTAACTATACAAACAATATTTGTTGTTAATAGTAGAAATATGGATATATTTATTTAAAAGTAAATATTAATATATGAGTTAGTGTGTGAAGCGATAGTCATTTCATAATTTTGGTGATGGATCGACTTATTTTAGTAATTGAAATATGTTAATGGATCAGCTAAAAAAAAAGAAGAAATTGATAACTTTCTTTCTAATTAAATTTTTCATATACCTTCCGTGAAAATACATGTTGCCTCATTATGTTTAAATGTTTCATGTAATGAATAAAAATCATATACATTCTGGTGTTCTTGCCGATGAACACGAATATGAATAAATAAACCATCACCAATAGATACTTTCATAAAATAATTGACGCCATAAGCTACC